TGAAATGCTAAACTCCCCTGGGAGTCAAGGAAATGCACATTAAATTCATTTGATATTATTCTTCACCCATCACCTTGACATTTGATAGTGCATGGCGTAGGCTTCAGCCACGCCTGGGCTTGTAGGACACTGGGGGTGTGGGCTTGCAGGGAGGGAGGCATGGGCTGGCTCCAGCGGGGGCTTGCAGGGACCTGGGGGCTCTCATCCAAGCAGGTGGGGTGAGATTGGGGATTTCCCCACATGCTTGACCCAGGAGGGGGCGCGGAGTGGAGTCCTGGATTCACATGCTGGTGTGGGGTGCTGGTGGACCAGGGTGGAAAACCCAGTGACTATGGATTGGTCAGGGAAAGGGGTAAGGGAATGTGGGGGAGGAAGGATTGTTGAGGGACTCCCACCCACAAGGCCACAGTACTTGCAGGGAAGCAAGGGGTCTGAGAGCGGTTTGCAGGGGGGAAGCTGCAGGACTTTTGTGAGTCAGGCAGGTGCCCCAAACCACATGGGAGATCCGAGTTGGGCTAATTAGCATGGATTACAGCGGACCACCCCTCACAGGCCCACACTAAACCTAGGACTGGGAGCCTACTTGGCAGGGGCAAGAGTTGGAACAGGGGACAGGTAATGTTAGGCTGGGCCATGATACCAACCAACACAAGAAAGAACCAGGACTGGGGGGCAGATTCTGTGGGGGATCTGTGAGCTCACCCCTGTATGGAACTGCAATTTCCACTGGGTGCTGGGGTTGGGGACAGACCAGGGAGGTCCAGGCTGTAGCACCCACAGGCATATCCAAGAAGAGGGTGTGGGGTGGGCTTGGCCACTACATCCACCAACTCATACAAACGCCAGGTCAAAGGGGGCAAACTATACCAGGCGGGGGTCTAGCAGCAACTGGCACATGTGAGATCTGAGTCTGGAAGTGAACCTGGTGGGGAAATTGTGGAACTCTCCTGGTGGGCTGTAGCTCCCGCTCGTGAGCATGTAATTCAGTCCTGGGTGTTGGTCAGGCTGGGCGAAGTAGCTCCACCTTTTCTGCATTGTGCAGGTTGGTTCTGGAAGGGGGACAACTAGGCAGGGCCAGGACAACCTTTGCTCATTGGCAAGTGCAGAAGTCAGGCTGAGGGCGGGTATGGCTAGCTAGTCTACCACATCTACGGGTTTGCATGAACCAGGGATAGGAGTAGATGGCGCAGGGCTAGCTGCAGCATCCACCAGTGAGAGTTGGAACTGGGGCGGGTCAGTTCAGGTCAGGCTATAGCATCCAATGGCAAAGGCCAAGATGGGGGATGGGTTATGCCAAGCTGGGTCAGAGCAACCACTGGCAATGCAAAAGCTGTGGCTGAAAACAGGTCTACTTTGGGAGCTCAGGGGATGCCCCACTGAATCAGTTTCCACTGGTGAACACAAGAGCCAGAGTGGGGGTGGCGATCTGGGCTGGACATGACTACAATGTCCCTTAACATGGATGTAGACTGAGTGTGTGTGTGTGGGGTGGGGGTCCCAGACTGCAGCACCCACTGGTGCTCATTAGACCCAGGGTAGGTGTAGAATAGGCTAGGCTAGGTCTCGGCTCCCAATGAGCCACGCGAGAGCTGTGTCAGGGTGTGGTCCAGGTGTGACTGGGCTATAGTACCCAACAGTAAGAACCAGAATGGGTGCGGGCTGGTTGAGTAAGGCCACTGTTCCTGCCAGGACAGGAGGTGCACTAAGTCAATCTGGCCCAAGGACCCGTGGGAGCAAGATTTGTCACTAGGAAGAGACTTGATAGAAGAGTTTGGGCAACTTTATGGTAAGGACGTATCCCTGCAGGTGAGTGCAAGAACCAAGGCTGGCAGCAGCCCAAACCAGACCAGGTTACAGTACAAGCTGGCATATGTGTGGCTCAGGTCTGGGGATGGGCCAAACGGAGCCAATTAATAACACCCTCTGGCAGATCTGAGACCCAGGATAGGGTGCAGGACAGGCCGGGTCAGGCTGCATCAAGCCAGTTCATTCTGGAGCTGGAACTGGGGCTAGCTGAGCTAGGCTGTAACATCTACCAGCATGAACTAGAACTGCGGGTAGTCCAGGCAGGGTCAGACTATAGCACCCTCCAAAAATTGCCAAGGTGAGGCAGGCCATGCCAGACTGGACAGCAGTACCCACCAGCACACATGAGACCCAGGGGCAGGAGTGCGAGCCCAGTGGCAGGGAGGGGGTACCAGGGGCTCCCCTGCAGGGACACTGATCCCACTGGTGAGCATGAGAACTGGGATCAGAGGCAGACCAGACCAGGCAGGGCTTCAGCACCTGTTAATCTGCATATAAACTGGGTTAGGGGGAGAGTCAGACTGGGCTGACCAGCTGTACCCACTGGTGCATACATAAGCCAGAGTAGATGCAGGCTGGTTGGGCTTTGGCAAGTGCTGGGACTGGGGACAAGTCCTGTCAAGCTAGACTGCAAAACCGCCTCGAGAGTTTAAGATCCAGGACTGTGAGTGGAGCCAGCAGGTAAACTGTGGGCACCACTCCGATGGGCTGCAGCTCCCACTGGTGAGCATGAGAACCAGGCCTGGAGACAACCATGGCTAGACAGGCAGTGAGATGCCCCCTGCACGAGTGTGGACTGGATAGTGGGGTTAGTTGGGTTGAACTAGGCTTCAACTCCCATTGACATGTGTGAGACCTGAATGAGATGTAGACAGATGGGACCAGTCTACTGCGCATATTGGCAAGCATAGGAACCAGGGCTGGGGGTGGGCCTACTGTAGGTTATTGGGGGTCACTCCAACTAGGCTGCAGCGCCCGTTAGTGTACATGAGGGTTGAATATGGGCGGGTAGATTTGACTTGACCCCAACATCCATTGGTTTGCATAAGAGATAGGACTGGAGACAGAACTGACCCAGTAATTACAACTCCCGGTGTGTGCATTGGCTGATGTGGGTGACAGACTGAGCTAGACCCCATTTTGGCAATCACACACAAGAGTCAGGTGTGGGATCACTTCAGATGAGGTTTCTTTGACAATCCCCTCACACTGAACCGCTGGACTCAGAACTCCAACCATGGGGAGAATTGCGGGATCTGTGGTCTGACCATGGAGCACATGTGTCAGAACTGGGTCTCCTCAGCAACTTAGAACAGAGCAATGAATGGCATGCCCAGATGCACATGGAGAATATGGCAGTCTATTGGAGCCTGTGGAGGACACCTGCTACCATAGCAGAAGGAGGAAGGGCAGAACAAATTGATCACCTACCCCAGCCAAGCATTGACAACAAATATTTCTGAGGGAATGAGACTATGTCAGCCAATGGGCCTTAGAAGGATTACCTCATCCTTGGAGTGGCAAGATGGACAGCATTTCAGAGCTCTTGAAACGGCTTGAGCAGAACCCACTGGGGTCCCTGGGGTGACATTGGTTGGCCATTTCCCATCCCCAGCTACTGAGGCAGTTGGGAGACTGGGTGTTGCTTCTCCCTCATCTGCCTCCTTCCCCCAGACACAGGAAGAAGAAAAAGAAAGTGTGGAAACAATGGTCTCACTCGCTTTCTAGTAAACCTCTATGCTGTCCATCCTAATCAACTATGTAAACTTCAAAAATAAAATGTAAAACAAAACAAAAAACCAGTGTGAGGATGAGAACTGCACATTGTTATCCAAGCCACCCGTGAGACACGACATCCACAGGCCCCTCTTTACACGGAGGGTCCCATGAAGAATGAAGCTACCCCACAGGCAGCAAATGATATCCTGTGAAGGAATGGATCCTGTGTTCACATAACACCCAGCAAACTATTCTCTTTGAGGATTGAATTAACCAAGAGTAGAGATAATAGCTTGTGTTAAAATCTGTCCAATGGTGGTTCTCTTCCTTAACCTTCAATCCTGCAGGTATGAACTGGCTGGCGCAAATTCCAGCTGGGAAGTAAAGTAACTGTTTTCTTCTTGGGCGGATCCAGTCTTTGGGCAGATGACAGAGCATCAAAGCAAAGCCTGATGCAGCATTCACTGCTCTCCAAATCATCAGTATACCAGCATGCAGTAATTTGGAATAAAGTTTTCTGCATCCTTTCACCAAGAACACACACACACACACACACACACACACACACACACACTCACAAGCAGGAAAACTGCAGCAAAGGTTCAAATTTTTACTACCGTAGTCCTGTCTCCAGTCTTCCTCTGCAGACAGACTTCCTGGCTCTCGACACTTGACTGGTCACCCAGAATTAAATAAGGTCCCCTGGGGTGCCTGAGCTGCTGGTTCCTTACGGTCCCCCCCAAGTCATCAAAACGACACATGTTCTCCATGAAGCTCCCTCAACAAGGTCAGCTGCCCCTTCTCCAATGTCCCAGTAACACTCCCCTCGGCTCTTGGCTGGAAACAGCAAGGCTGTGTCCCTGTGCCATTCCCTCCTAAGGGAGTAGGGTGTGTGATCAGAGCAGACCTCAGGTCTCGGACCTTCCAGTCCGCCATGCGGTTCTCCCCTAAGCCAAGGCACTGCCCCATCCCCTGCCACATACACACAGCACAGCAACTGGCCCCAGAATTTCAAAATTCTAACCCAAGTTTCAGCCTTTGTTAATCTACAGAAGAGGCCAAAGCTCTCCTGTTACAGGCAGTTTTATTACACACTAGAAACTTCCCATTTGTTCTGCCACCCCCTAACCTAAGGCTTTCCATATTTTTTAAATGCTAAATAAGATTTCTTCATGACATATTGATGTACAACAGGTTGGACCAGAGGCTTTTTGTATCCTTCAAAAAGATGCTTTATTATTTTTATAACACACCTTATGTTCTCTGCCTTTAAGAAAAATGGTCAGAAATAAAGCAACAAAAAATTCAGATTGGGGGGACACACACAGGCTTTCACCATAACCCTTCCACCCCTTTAAGGTTTGCTCATCTCGCCTACAAGCTTATTTCTTCAACGCTGTTGGGATGCTTTGGGTCAGCAAGCAAGACGCCAGCACTGCTGGTCAGCATGCACGGTGAGGAAGGCTGGCTCTCACCTCCCGGTTGCCCTGGCTCTCCTGGGCTGACTCAGGACTTCATACGCAGCCTGGATTTCCAGGAATCGCCTCTCGGCCTCCTCTGACTGTTCCCGGTTGTGGTCCGGGTGCCAGACTTTCACCAGCTCCCGGTAGCGCTGCTGTATTTCTTCATTTGTCGCCCCTTCTGAAAGGTCCAAAACCTGATGGAAACAGAATTCATCATTTCACAGGCTGTGAACCTGGCCCCCTCCCTGCTATGATGCTAAGTCAGGCTGAACTAATTTCTACTGACTCATAGAAAAGGTCTCAGCTTACTGCAGTACTCCCTGGCAGGCACAATCCGGAGCTGGGAACAGGCCTGGTCGGGGAATTGTGGACACGTCCCTGTTTGGCTGCAGATCCCGCTAGTGAGCATGACAGCCAGGGCTGGGGATGGCCCAGGCTAGTCAAGGCAACAGCACCTGTCAGCATACATGTAGGCCGAGTTTGGATGCAGGTTGGGCTGAACTAAGCTTCAGCATCCATTGGTGTACACAAGAGCCAGACGGGATGAAGGATGGACCCAGCTAGGCCACAGCACATGCTGGCAAAAACTAGGACTTGGGGAAGGCCTGCTGGGGATTACTGTGGACCACCTCAACTAGACTGCAGTACCTGCTGGTGTGTGTGAAGACCAGACCTATGGTGTGCTGCATGGGCTTGGCTAGGTCACATCACCCATCAGTTCACACAAAGCATGACACACGCAGCTCGATCAGAACTGACCTGGCAGCTGCATCCACTGGAGTGTGCATCCTCTGGTGCAGGCAATGAACTAAAACCGGACACTGCTCTACCTGACACACGCAAGAGTTGTCTGAGGTCACCCCAGGCAAGGCTTCTTGGGGATCTCCCAATTAGATGCTGGCACTCAAATCCCAGCCACAGGGAGAATCACCGCCTATGTGGTCCAGCCTTGGAGAGCGAGTATCAGGACTGGGCCTCCTCAGATGCTGATGCCTGGGCAGTGGACAGCATGTCCAGATGCAGAGGGGGAACATGACAGCAAGCTCACCCAGGCCAGCGGAGGACACCGAGTGCCTCATCAGAGGATGAAAAGCAGAACAGATTGGACCACTCTGGCCAAATTTTACAGGGAGTATCTGGGTCTATGGATGCACCCTGAGGTGGACCTGGTCAGCCAACAAACCTTAGAAAAATTTTTTCAACCCTGTTTCAATGAAGCTGATGTCCCAGAACTAACAAAATCATTTAAGGAACACCGTTGGAACATTCTTCCCCCAAGATGTCATCAAGTGGGGGGGGAGCGGGTTTTGGGGAGGGGAGGGGGGAATCCCAGTGCCTGTAAAACTGTGTTTCATGATGCAATGTAATAAAAAAAAATTTTCAAAAAAAAAAAGAGATGTCATCAAGTGACTGTCCCCTATGCTCAGGTGTGGGTGATAGCAAGGAGCAGTCCCCTCTCTTTCCCAGGAGAAGAAAATAATTAAATAACTGCAACATTTGTCCCACCCACTTTCCTCCATACCTCGATCCTCCCCACCCTAACTAGAGGCCAACATGTGCGCCCATCCCTCTCAACTATTTAATCAATATTAAAAATAAAATTAAAAAAATAATGCCAGCCTCTGGACGAGCTGTGTGCCTCACAGCAACAGCTACATGTTCCAATAAAGGAAAATATTTAGGGCCAAGGAGTAGCAAGTTAAGCCTCTACCTGCAACACTGGCATTCCATATGGGCACCAGATAAGTTCTAGCCTCTCTACTTCCAATCCAGTTCCTTGCTAATGGCCTGGGAAAGTAGCAGAAGACAGCCACGTACCAAGGCCCCTGGACCCACACTGAGAGTCCCAGAAGAAGCTCCTGGATCCTGGCTTTTGACCGGCCCAGCTCTGGTTGTTGTGGCCACTTGGGGAATACACCGATGGATAGATCTGTGTTTCTCCTCCTGCCTCTGTAACTCTGCCTTTCAAGTAATTTATTTGAAAAGCAGAATGATAGAGAAAACTTGCCATTGCAGGTTCACTCCCCACAGCCAGGTCTGGGTAAGATTGAAGCCAGCAGCCTGGAACTCCATCTGCTATCCCGTACTAGTGGCAGGAACCCCGGGGTGCTCAGGCCCTCACCCCATGCTTTCCCAAGCACAAGAGTAAGGAGCTGGGTCAGAAGGTAGAGCTGAAAATACTCCAACCAACCTCTCCAATAAGGGCTGCTGGTGTCACAAGTGGCGGCTTAACCCTCTGTACCACAAAGCCAGCCATCAGCAGGTGCCCTTCACAACTTGACCTCCCTGATGAGAATCTCCCCACAACAAAAACCGATGTGCATAAGCATGTTTACAGTAGCTTTCTTCAGTAGAAACCAGTATCACAGAAGAAATGACCCAGACACTCATTAGCAATGACACAAATAAACAAATGATCGTCCAATCACGTAAAGCAACACAAGTGCGTGTGACTCAATGGAGACTCCAGCACGGAACACATGCTCGATAACTCCATTCACCTAAAGGTCAGGAATGAAGGCCACTCATCTATGGTGGCAGAATTCACAACAGAGGCCTCCTCCACAGGTGGGAGTACCAACTGTGCTGGACGTAAAGCGTCCTATACTTCGGTCTGACTGTTGTGTACCCCAAACCAGAGCATTTTCTAATGCTACATCTCAATACAAAGTCAGCAATGTATACATGGGCCTGTCCCACTCTTACCTTGCCTAGTAGCACACAAAAGCCCTAGGGAGTTAGGGATCCCTCCCTAGGGCCTGGCCAGTTAATTAACAAGGCTTTGCTAAACTTCCATAGCCCCCCAGGCAGGAGTGAGAGAAGGGGAGCCTACCTGGGATGCCAGCCTCCGCTTCTCATCCTGAAAACTGTCCACAAACTCATAGAGCTTCTCCCACTCCTGGAAGGAGCTGCTGCTGAAGCCAGGGTTCCCCAGCAGCAGCCACCAGGCACGGCAAGGCAGGAGGAGGAGACCCTCCACGAGACGACTGAGCAGTGGGAAAAAGCTGAACCAACTCAGGAAGTAGCCCAGGGTTTCTGCCACATAGCGGAGGGTAGCAGCCGTGTTGCAAAGGGTGCTGTATGCCAACGGGCCCGTGAAAGCAAGGTAGGCCAGGCCCAGGCGGTACAGCCGCACGCTCAGTGTCTCAGACCTTACGGGAGATTTGTAGCGCCGGTGCTTCTGGGCTGCGAGGCTGGCAGCCAGGCTGATGGGCAGGATGGCCACAGGGCGACCGTAGAAAATGGGAGAGGTGAGAAATGCTGCCCCGAGCGTGTTCTTAAAATCTGAGGTCTGGCTGCCGACAGCAGCCACCAGCAAGACCCCTAGGCCCACTGCCAGGGGCAGAGCCACAATGTAGAAGTTGGCCATTGAAGAAAGAGAGACCAGAGCCACGAGGCCAAAATAGATACCCACTAGGATTTGGGCAACAAAACGAATGGGACTCAGAGGGGGTATCCCCACTGCTGGGTTCGGCCTCTGGCCCTGGGCTCTGTTGGCCTGAGCTACAAAACTTGGGAGCTTCCAGAACTCCCAGAGCCAGCCCAGCCCAGCGCCACCCAGGGTGAGCATCCAGAGGAGGGCGTGGCTGTCCCTTCCCAGGTACAGATGGTGGAGCCCAGCAGGGCCCCCTAGAGCCCAGAGGGCATAGGTCACCAGGAGTCCCTTGGCCATTGTCCAGGCTGAGGTCTCAGCCCAGTCGGCTGGGACCTGTCATTGCTCGGAGTGCAGAGATCACATCGGGACACTCTGCCAGATTCCTGGCTCTCGTGGGCCCAGGGTTAGCCTTATCCCCTAAGAGAGAAAAAAATAAAACACAAAATAGTATGATTACGCTCAGGAACCATCTCCTCTGTGCCCCTGCAATGCTAACCCTTACCCCTTGTTCCAGCACGTTTTATTCAAAGAGAACAAATAGCTGGTTCACTCCCCAAATGCCCGTGATGGCTGGAGCTGGGCCAGGCTGAACACCACACAGGTCTCCTGGGTGGCAGGAACCAACCGGCTACCTGAGCCATCACCTCCCAGGTCTACATCAGAAGACGGAAGCCTGGTACACAATGCAGGCCTGTTGACGGGGGATGGAAGTGTCTGAACCACTCCAGTTTAGAAAGCTTCTATAGAGACTAAGGGCCTGTGCCAATCCAGCTCTGCCCTTCACAGCCTCCAAACTTAGGGATGAAGAATGCTTTCCAAGCTTTGATTTGAGAAACCGGGCCCTGTAAAGGAAACAACACAAACTAAAAGCTCACAGCTTCTCTTAGTCTCAGAGGGCCTGGGAGGCAGGCAGGGAAGGCTTCCCAAGTCCTCCTGCGCCCCTTTAGTTCCCATCACGGCTGCCTCAGACACCCCTGGCCCAGGATTCAGCTCCTTGCCCTTGCACTGAAACGTTCTGGAAACTACATTTTGACCTGGACCTTAACACCCACGCAAATTCGACCACCTCCTTCCGAGGCTGCACCACGCCTAGCCTAGCTTACAGAAAGCCCGGCTGTGATTCACGCCCCCTAAGTGCCCGCCGGGCAGTAACCGCAGCCCGAGTGGAGCAGCCATACCTGGGCACACCGCGGGCAGCCCCGACGCGCCACGGAACCAAAATGGCCCCGTCACTCCCCTCCCGCTTACATCCGAATGGACTTTGTCTTTGCAGTGTCTGCCGGGTCACAGCAAGCCAGGCCCCTCCCCGAGGCCCTCCTCCAGGGAGATCCCGGCCTGCGCTCTCGAGCAAATTCCGTCTTCTGGCTGCCCTGACTTGGGCTTCGCCGCGCCCACGCCACCCCTGGGCCAAGCGCTGCCCCCAGAGCACCGCGGCGCCCCAGCTGGCATTCCCGCTTGCGGCAGCGCGCGTCCCCAGACTCACCTTGGCGTGATTACGGGCCCTGCCACGGCCCGGGGCTGTCTCCCACGCAGGGGCTGCCAGGCGAGAGTCAAGAGGCGGTGGTCCGCTAAAACAAACAAAAAGGAAGCCAGCTTCCACGGCCTGCATCGCCCTTCGTACTACAAACGAAAGGGCGTCTACGCCCTCCGCGTAGGCTGCACACTGCACCGAGACCACGCTGGACGGCTCCACGTCTGACTCCTCCCGCAAGTGTGCCTGGCTGCCTAGTAGCCAGGCCTCCTACTAGGGTCTTCTTTGTCTAGATCGGAGCCCCAAGGCAGAGGAGCCCCGAGGCGGCTCCGCCCCGTGCCCTGGGCGAGAGGCTGAAAACTTGACAGCCGAGGCAAGGAAGGTGGAATGCCGCTCCAGGCGAGCCCGGGCCCGGGCTGGAGGACTCGGCACTAACGTGCGGCCAGGATGCCAGAGGCCTCCAGGCCTTTGCCCCCGGTTCCGGTCCTGGGTTCTGTTAGGTGACCTTGGCCAAGTCTCGCCGCATGCAGGCTGGGCCTCCAGTTCCCCGCCTGTAACGAAGGGACTTGGAGCTCCCGGGTCTCCCGGCCGCTGACCCTTACAGCAGGCAAAAGGGCTCTGTTTCCCTCCGAGCCCCTGTCTGGCCATCCCCACCCCAGCGGGTCAGAGGGGTAGGAAATGCGCTCCTTTACAAGGCCCCTTGGGGTCCCGCCGGCGGCCAGGAGACGCCCTAGCCTGCGGCTGGGGGCGGGGACCGACGGGGCGCTGAATAATGAATGAGACTTAATTGGGCCCGCACTGCGCCGCAGCGCGCTAAGCTAGGCAAACAGCGCGGACGACGGCGCCGGCGGCCGCAGGACAAACAAACTCGCTCTGGGAGCGGGAGTCGGGTGCGGGCGGAGGCAGTGGGAGCCCAGAGGCCGTCGTCCGCAATGCTGAGTGGGGGGTCACGAAGAGGAGGAGGTGGCAGGGCTCCACGTTTACAGAGCCTGTGGAGGAAACTGTGTAGGTAGAGCAGAGGGAGCGAGGGGCCCGAGGGCGATGTTAGCGCGAGGAAAAGATGGAGACTCAGTGGAACGCACAGGAGAGAGACACGAGCGAGGAAAGGGCGCCCCCTCCCCCGGGGGGGTGGGGAGAGGAGGAGAGCTGTTACCGAGAGGAAAGGAAAGAGCGATGGAGGAGCAAGCGTGGGGGCCGGGAGGAGAGGCACGCGGGTGAGCGGAGTGAGAACGCGGGAACAGCGGTGCGGGCGGGGGGGGGGGTGGCTGGTGCACGCCTCGCCCCGCCGCGCGCCCGCCCCTGTGCTCCCTGCAGCCGCGCGCACTCACTTTGTCACAATTACGGGGCCGTCACTCGGCCAGGATTGTTTTTCCCTAAACTGTTGTTCTATAAACTGGCGCGGGGTTGGGAGGTGGGAGCACCTGGCGCGCTGGAGCAAAGAGGCTGCGCCAAGTCGCGACGGAGGCAAGGCGACGCTTGCACCCGGGTGGACACTGATTCAAGTGACACGGCGGATCCAGAGGTCGACCTATGCGGGAATCCTGGTCGCTGACCCCGCTCTGGCCCTCCCTGGCTCTGCCCAGCCCCGGCTGACCGTCTTCCTCCACCCCCTCCCGGCACATCGCGACAAGGATGATTGAAGGCCAAGGGCAGCCCAAACTTGCGTGCCCACCCGGCTCCCTCTTCTCTATACTCAAGGCTCCCTGGTAGGCTAGGGTCGGTCTGTCTCGCTCAGCACCAGCTCAGACCCCGCCAGTGCCCTCCGCATCCCTGGCCACCAGGCCCGGCCTCAGGCCCGCAGACATCTGTTGCGCGCGCACTGAGCGCGAGCCGCACCAGCCACCCCACCAGCCCTCCCCGCGCAGCCCGCCCGCCGCCCCCGCCCTCGCGGCCTGTCGGCTCCGTGACAGCCGCAGCCAAAGCCTGGGCCCCGCGGGAGCGGCCGGAGAGGAGCCGCCGCATGGCTGGCTCCGACACCGGCCTCCCCGGCGGCTCCAGGGGCAGCGGAGGGTGGCGGCCGCTGAAGCGAGACCGGAGCGGTCCAAGGGAGTTGGCAGGGTTCTGGAGAAGGAGGGGAGGACGTCCTCAAGGCAGGGCGTAGCTCTCATTTCGCCGCGACCCCCGCCGGGTTCGGTGCACCCGGGGCCGGCCTGGGCTCTCGGCGCCCCCTCCCCCAGCCCGGTGATTTACACGCGGGCTCCGCTCAGCGGCCGCTTCCCAATCAGGAATATCGACCCCGGGCGGGGCCCCCGGGCCGCATCGATCCCTCTAAGGCTCGGGATTTAAAAATGTCAAATTTGCCTTTTCCAGGAGGGCGGAGGGAGCGGGGGCCGGGAGGGGGGGGGTTCGGACCAGGGGAGGACAGCGGGGCATCGACCAGCCGCCTGTGCCCGGAATGAGAAGCGACCCAAGCCTGCCCCTGACCCTGACACTCTGTGACCGTGCTCGCCTGCGCAGTCACCTCCGGATTGCAGCCCAGGGAGAAAGCCTTGCCCACCACCACTCTCCCTTCCCCTCATCCCCACAGTACCCAGGGGGTCTCCCTGCCCTGTGAGGGTATTCCCAGAGGGAGGAGCCCCTAGAGCAGCCAAAATCCTCCCCGAATTGGCAAGAGATCCCTACTAGAGCAACAGGCCTACACAAAGAGGGGGTTGGACTTGCAAGGGGAAGACGATAGACTTAAGGAAGGGCAGGGCAAAGAGAGGGTGCCCTACAGAAAAGCAGGTGGCTGGAAAGCAAGGGTCACTCATGGCCCTGCTGTGTGGACCTTGCACAGAGGGCAAGGGACTGCTGCACTTCTTCGTGATTTGGTGAATGGAGGCAAAACGGGCGAGATAAAGGCAGGCGAGGAAAGGAGGTTCCTAAGAATATTCAGAATGTTCCTTATCCACCCAGGGAGTCTCTTAAATCCAAAGATAGGTTCCCAGAGGCTGCAGGTGGGGGCCCCAAGATGGGCACTTGAAAGAGACAGGGTCTGCCCCATGGCTTGCTCAGCAAGCTGGGCGCGGGCATATGTTGGATGGAGAGTGTATGCATGGGGAGGTGTGCACCGGGTGCCCTGCTGGGAATTGCGTGCCCAGGACTCAGCAGCCAGCTCTGCAGACTTTTGTGGACAGCACCCGCTGTTGTCACTGCAGCTGGGAAGGGAGCGGTGGTCCCCAGAAGCAGCGCTCTTACAGTTAACGTGTGTCACACAGGCACACACCTCAGCTGTCATCGGCGCGCCACCATTGCCTCCAAAACTGGAGACAGAACTGACAGCCAGCGGCGGGGGGCGGACGAGGAGGGCCCATCCTCCGCCGGGCGAGGCTCAAACCTCCGCTGACAAAATCAGGCCCAGCCCTGACACATCCAGGCACTTGTCCCCCTGCGCACTCCAACCAGACCATCCATCCCTGTCACCGCCTCGGAGCGCGCTTTGCGCACTGTTGCTGGGGTCGCGCCCCAGCGCCGGCTCCTACAACCCCGTCCGACCTCAGATCACTGAACCCGAAGCGAGAGCCTTCTCAAAGATCAACCCTGGGGCCTACTACGACTTCGGGGGGTGGGGGGAACACAGCCCTAGAACCTCCAGCACCCACCGGGCAATGGGACTGTGCTGTGCCCCCCTCCCGGACCCTCTCCCTCCGGCTGCGGGCCTTCTGCCCGCACGTCTGCCCGCCCGCCTGTCAGCCAAGTAATGAATGCGCGCTCGGGGCCGCGGGTCCCCCCTCCCCGGAGTCGTTCATCACTGCCAGCACCGCCCACCTCTCTGCCTCCCGCTGGGAAGGCTAAGCGGCTGGGCTGCGAAAGCCCCTCTGCCCACCCCACCCCGACCACTAATTGT